AGGAGCACCCACAGCAGCCAGGGCCGTCTGGAAGGTAGACAATAGGCTACTCTGTTCAGTCTGTTAAATAGGACAATAGTTTCCTTGACCTAAAAGGCTACAACCAGGAATCTTACAGAGCTGTTACTTACTAGTAATTAAATCAAAATTAAATGTGAACAGAGGTGCACATTCCTTATTAAAAGCACAAACAGATACACAAATAAAAAAAACATGCTGGGGTTGAAAAAGAAAGAAAATCAAATAAAAAATAGCCCGTAATAAAGACACACTCTGTTTGCTCCAACTAATAAAGCCTGAGTTCATCAATTTTCTTTAAATATTAGCAACTTAATTAAATCTGCTTTTTTCCCTTTAATCCTCTTCTCTATCTAAAATAGATCTGTCCACATGCAGAAGTTTGTAACTAGTGCTGACCCCATAATTCTATTTAAAAAACCCAAAGAAATCCACATCAAACTGACAGCAGCCTCAGGGGAAATTACAGTTCAGAAGAAGGATTAGCTAGAGAACCCAGATTTTATGGAAATGGTATTGGCCGTTCAAAAAGCACATGTAGGTGTGCAAGAGGCATCCACAGAGGGCAAGCTCCAGCTACACCGCAGGGAGCTGTGGGTCCCCCATGCAGGAAGGCTCCCAGACCCACAAGCCGTGCCAGGAGGGCTGGCACACTGCCCTGGGAAGCCAAGGACCACCCCAGCCCTGGCCACCCCAGGCAGGCACCTCAGCTTCTCTCAGCCCCAGGGTAAAGCCTGGCCCCAGATTGCTTTCAGCCCTCGGGAGCAATATTCACTGGAAATGGTTTTCAGCACAGGCTGGCTTTTTATTCTGAGCGAGGTGGGTGATGCGGTGAGTGATGTGGAAAGGGGCTGTAAAATGGGTTAGTTGTGGGTTCCTGGGTTCATTTTGGAGATGAGGCGGTTGCTAGGCTACCTCTGGAGTTTGACAGGGCCTGATGCTTCCAGTCGCTTCCCAGGGGAGCTGTGAATTAGCTGTAACTGCATCGAGCGTCCGG